TTATTGCCAAAAGGTGATCCTAAAAAAGTGCAGAGAAAAAAAAAACTTGAAAGGCCAAGTAGTAGTACAGTTAAACCTTTTTATAAATTAATAGAAACTAATAGTGTAGAATTTTGGGCTTGCTGCTATAAAAGCTGTCAAAATATAAAATATCAGAATGACAGCTCTATCTCAAACTATTGGTGACATTTAAGAAGTAGGCATTATATATTAAAAGCTATGATAGAAAGTGGTCATATAATTATTGTGCCAAAGAATGGTGAAACTTGTGAATTCCAAATATTAGCAGAATCATTACAAATAACAATTATGCAAATGTATAATACAACAGCTAAATACAGTTGACTCCTTCTAAATGCATCTCTTTGAGACCAGACTTTTAGCAACATGCATTAAAAGAACAATTAAGAAAAATGCATTTATAGGGATCAAATATATATGTAGACTTAGAATTTAAACCTGCATTTAAAGAGAATATGCGTTTAGAAAACATGCATTTAGAGGAAGTTGACTATATACATCCAATAATTCAAAACAAAAAAAGCTTGATAATCATATCGCTACTTTTATTGTTAAGGATCTTTATCCTTTTTTAGTACTTCAATCACAAGCATTTAAACGAATAATAGAAGGACTTGACTTACAAGCTAATATGCTTAGTAAGGATTATTTAAAAGAAATTCTCCTTAATGCTGAAGATAATATTTTACGAAAAATTTGGGAATACGTACTTGATGATAGTGAAATTTGATATAAATCATATACTACTAATATGTAGACATCAGATAATGGTGACCCATATATTGGACTAACAATTCACTGGATCAATAATGACTTTCAAATGAAAGAGATGACTGGTAATATTTCATATCTTCTATACCCCTATACCGCAGTAAGTCTTTTAAATAAAATTGTTGAAATTTTAAGCAATCTTCAGCTTATTAATAAGACTGTTTGTAGTGTAGTTGATAATAGTGCAAATATTCAATTATGTGTAGAAAGATTAGAACAAAAAAATAATATACAAAAAATTTTTGTTTTGGTCATACTTTACAGCTTGCTATAAATGATGCACTAAAAAAATGCATTGAAATTACAGATTTAATGAAAAAATATAGAAATGTTGTGTTATATTTTAGTAGAAGTCTGAAACAAAAACAATTCTTTTTGACAGCTCAAGTAGAGATAGAAGATTGTGATAAGTTTCTTTATATAATACAGAATGTTTCTACAAGGTAGAACTCTACATTCTATATGTTAAAATGGTTACTTATCCTTAAATCAGCACTATATAGATATATGTCTTTTTTAGCAAAAGCAAATGAATATAGTTCTTTAAGAACTTATGAAGAAAAAAACTATCATCAGATAATTAGGATATGATAACCGAATTAGTTAAATTATTATATCTTTATGAAGTTGTCTCAAAACATTTATCTGGCTCAAAGTATCTAACACTATCACAAGCATGGTATGCTATTAACTTTATCAAGACCAAAATTAGTAATACAATAGTATATAATAATGATATTCAAAACTTTGGAACCTTTCTATATGAATTACTCCAAAGACGGTTTTTAGAACCAATCAGGCTAATTCGACTTGCTGGTTTTTTTTGATCCACAAACTAAAGATATGGAGATATTAATAGAAGATGAAAAGCAAATAACTATTTTAGAAGCACGAATAGAATATAAAGAATTAGGTTCTTATGAATTAGACAATGAATCAGATACAGAAAGTTTACAAGATCCAACTGTATCTGGTGATGAAAATAGTGATGAAGATATCTTTTCTACTGCGGTAATGCATTTTCAAGAACACTTAAGTCAGCAAGATAATAGTATTGCTAACAATGAATTTGACTCGTATTTGTTGCTACCAAAGGTTTCAGGTCAAATAGATATACTTAGTTAGTAGACATCAAGAAAAGCTGAATATCCAATACTTACAAAACTTGCTCGCAAGTATTTGTCTATTCCAGCAACATCAGTGCCATCTGAACGCCTTTTCTTAGCTACAGGTTTAACTATTACTGAAAGGTGAATATGTCTTAATCCTGAATATGCTGTTACAATTTTATTTCTTAAAGTGGCTTTAAATCTTTGGCCGGTTTCTCATGTTTTTAAATAGAATTATAAATAGCAAAAAATTTTTTTGTTTTTATTATATACTTTTTTTTTCATTCTCTATTATTCCTTTTTTTTTCTTTTTTTCTTCTCTACGAGAAAGTGTTATCAGTTTGGCAGCATTCTAT